CTCAAACCTCGCCCCGCCCCCGTCGCCCTGTTCTGGGTTTCGACCCCAGGCTCCGGCGCGCCGTCAGGTAGGGGCCTGCTACCGCGCTTAGGCCGCGCCGGGGTCTCTGGTGCAGGGACTCCGTGCTCCCACCCCGCAGCGAGTCACCAGCCTCCTGCCTCAGTGGTGCGGATGGAGCCGTCCCTGCGGGAGGCCCAGACCACGCGCAGCAGGGTGTCCCGCCCCACCTGTCCCAGGCCCGCAGCGGCCTGCTCTCCAGTGGGAGCCGGGCCTCGACTGTCTTCCAGGTCACCGCGCCCCGCGACTAGGCGCCGGCCATAGCCGCAGCAGATGGCACCGTAGTGCCTTCTTGGGCCTTGCCGTCACCTCTGTGGCACAGTGTGGTGCCCTGGAGGGAATGCACATTTGGCCAGGCCGTCCCCTCAGAGGCACCCTCTTGGCTACACCCATGGCTTGGAGATGCCTAGCTCTAGGGCACCCTCGTTAATGGGCATGGGGAAAAACCACCAGATGCTTTTCCTTCCTTTTTTAGCAAAACATTTATTGGTACATTTTAGATGTACATAATGATAATGCACATCATAGGTGATTTGCAACCGTATATGATATGACCTGCCTCCCCCCCCTTCCTTTTATTTTTAAATATTTGAGACAGGGTTCCACTCATCTAGGCTGGCCTTGAATTCACTTTGTATCCCAGGCTGGCCTGGACCTTTCGGTGAATCTCCTGCCTCAGCCTTCAGAGTGCAGGATTTCTACATATAAGCCACCATGCCTAGCTTCTTTCTATTTAACAGAAATTTCCAGGGAGCCAGATTTCCCAGTAATATTCTTATGTAACGACTTTTGAGAATCTGTGTCCAGGATCTAACACTGTTTGGTGAATTTCTCTTGCTGGTTTCAGCCCAACTTTCCATTCTGTCAGACTGCCTGGAATTGGCTCAGCCACCCATGGTGCTGGCGCCATCCCCACCAGCCAGCAGCCATCTGTGGGGGAAGAGGGACTCGGGTATCCCAGCCCCACAGACCTCTCCTGAAGGTTTCCCAGAAGGTGCAGGTCCAAACCTTAGTCCCTGATCCAGGCAATCCTCTGTCTAGTGTATGAAGACCAGCGCTCTCTGAGCCTAGAGACGAGGTCTGGGCTCCAAGGCTGAGGACTGGCAGGGTGGGAGTCTGGCTGGGGTTCAGTGATGCCACCTGTCACCCAGCTGGAAACCCTCTCTGGAACTCGCTGTGCATAGATGTCAGTGATGCCTCCAGGATGTTCTGCTTAACCCTTTGGCTAAAGTTGAGATTGGCAGCTTGTGTGAGGCCATACTGCTCTGCTGCAGTGTCCTGTCCCACCCAGAGTCTACCCAGGCCAGCAGGGGCCCCACCTGTCTCCTGCAACACCCCACACAGAGCAGCCTGTGTGGTCACTTGTCATCCTCTCCTCCCCTGTATTTTCTTTCTTCTTTTGCAGTACTCGTGATCGAACTCAGGACCTTGCACTTCTGAGGCAGGCACTGCCACCATAGAGCTACATCCCTGGCTCCTTTCCATATTTTCACTCGTGACAGAGCCAGGCTTTTATTTCTTGGTTTATTCTTCTTTCTGTCCTTGAATGCAAGTTTCCTGGGGTACAGGACTTGGCATTGTTCATCGCTGCCTCTGGGCACTGGAACAGGTCCAGGTGTAGGGAGGCAGGAGGATTACAAGTTCGCCTGGGCAACTTAGTGACTTAGGGAGACCCAGCCTCAAAAATACAGAGCTGGGCATGTAGCTTTGTGGGAAAGCCCTGGGTTCAATCCCCACTAATGGAAAAAAAGTTATGGAACACAAGAAACCCTTCAGGACTTGAGGACTCCGTCTGTCCCAACTCCCAAACCCCTCAGGACTTGGGGACCCCCTGCCTGTCAACTCCAGTAACCTCAGCTGCAGGGTTGCCATACAGTCCTCTCCCCTGTCCTAACAGACAGGTGGGGAAGAAGGAACAGCAGAAGAGTTGGGGGGGGAAATCACTTGTCCCCAGCAGGGGGTGACACCGCCCTCTGGCTCTGCCGGTCCTCACCCCAGTACAGCTCTGAAGACCTTTTTGGGGAAAGGGCGGGAGAAGGTAGGGAAAGTGTACATTTGTCCAACCCTCAGAGCGTTTGCAAGTTTATGCCTCAGAATCGTGAACAACGTACACTACTTTGTTTTGGAGACCGGATCTCACGCTGTAGCGGGGCTGACCTCGAACACACAACCTCCTACCTCAGCCTCCTGAGTGCTGGGATTATGGGCGTGCTCCATCACGCCAGGTTTATTTCTTCTCCCGGGAGCCACCTCCAGCTCTGTACCCAGGACAATAATTTACAACTTCGCCCTGGCAGAGACCCACTGCTCAAATTTCCGCCACCATCGGCCGCCCTCCCCCAAGAGCAAGCACACGCTGCGTGTTGGCGCCTTTTTATTGGGCAGCAGCGGGGCGCTCGCGGAGGGGCAGCCCGGGCCTCAGTCCTCCACGTCGCCTCCGTCCAGGGTGGGCCGGGTCCGCTTGAAG